GGGGGGGGCGCTGGCCCCTGCTCGTCCCTCCTTGGCTCCGCCACTGATGGGCTATATTCTGTTGCATCTACACAGCAGCGTCTTGAATATCATTCATTTTATCATGCTCCTCAGACTACATTTTCTTCCTTGTCTCATGTTTTCCCCTCTTATCTGTTACTACCCTTGTTCAGAAACAGTTAATTCGGATGGAAACCAATGGGTCATCTGCCAAGAGTCAGGAGATCGGGTCAAAAAGAAAGTGGAAGAACCAACATGAACATACAGCGAAGCACATCGCATGGCATTCCTTTGGGTACCAAGGCCACCATCCGCAACAGAGGCCTGCACGGGATGGTGCTTCACTCACCCCCTCGCCAGGGACGCAAAATAATTTCCATGTTTCAGGAGACCGATTCTTTCTGACGTCCAGCCCATACCAGAAAGATGTAGAAAGTAGGTACCTCCAGGACAAAATGAACGGGACAATCACTTGTTTGGTCTGTGGCAACCAAGGACATTACAGTTGTGACTGCCGTTTCAAGGACCAAGAGCACAAAATCATTTGCGCAGTCTGTCGCAAAAATGGCCACTGTAGCATGTGGTGTTGCCAGCAGAACAAGTCGGAGAATCGCGCTTGCACCCGCTGTGGAGAGATAGGGCATACTACCAGTACACATGGTCTCGGTTGCTCAGGCTGTGACGAGTATCATGACGACGGAGAGTGCCGTTTAAGCGAGGTTAAATGCTTCATCTGTGAATGTCAGGATCATTATCTTGCTCAGTGCCCCTTGAATTCAGTATTGACTGAGGCATTTCAGGGTCAGAGAGACAACTTCCAAGCCGCTCTGCGGCTTGCACTATCAAAACAACGCAACCCATCATCTACACCTCCCAAGTGTTATGCAAAATCAGAAGGAAAAGTACTGACCGCCAACAAGTCTAGTCCAATTTGCTTTACATGCAGTGAAGAAGGTCACTTTGCCTTTCAGTGTCCTCAGAACAGCCCCGGCCAGTCCGAAGAATTTGAAGAGAGCAACACTATAGCTACATCCGCCAACCTGTCCAAAGAATTAGAAGAACGGGACCCTGATACAGGTACTGCTAAACAATCATCAGAAAGGAAGCCGATATTGTACGATCAGTGTTGCCCCTCAAAGGCAAAAGTACTGACCCCCAACAAGCCTAGTCCAATGGTTAGAACATGTAAAACAAAAACAAAAGGGAAGAAAAGTATGTGCTTTACATGCCGTGAAGAAGGTCACAATGCCCATATGTGTCCGCAGAAGTTCGGAGCTATATCTGGCAACACATCAAAAGAATTAGAAGAGAGCAGCACTATAGGTACATCCTCCAACATGTCCAAAGTATTGGAAGAACAGGACCCTGGTACCGCTAAACATTCATCAGAAATGAAGTGGGTTCTTGGATGTGTTAGCTGTGGTCAGGAAGGGCACAGGGCCAAGAGCTGTCCAACACGAGTGTTTATATGCTCCTTATGCAATGAAGAAGGCCACAAAGCCAAGAAATGCCCTCAGAAGGGCCAGAAATCATCAGAAATGAAGCGTAAATCGAATGTCCGATGTGTAAGGTGTGGTGAGGAAGGGCACAAGCGCAAGAAGTGTCCGTTGAAACATCAATCATAGACCGTCCACAAGTCTAGTCCTTTGGTTACAGTAGACAACACATCAACACGAGTGGTTACATGCTTCCGTTGCAAGGAAGAAGGCCACTGCGCCAATCGATGCCCTCAGAAGCACCAGAAGCGTTAAGACTGTTCCACCAAGAGCTATCGGTAAAGCAAACAGTAGTACTCATAATGACTATACATGGCATTACATTTTCAATCACGCCGATAAGCAGCTTGGGAAGAGATCTTGGCACTAAAGATACAACCAAGGGGAAAAATACTCACTGAGCTGAGCCAGACCTCCTCCCTTGACTAAAAAGTTACTGCACAGTTACCGTCTTTTTCTTTAGATACTCTAGCGGTTGAAAAGTTTTCAATGAAGGGCATTTTATATCATGTGTTTTTGGAATGTCTTTCTCTGAGATGATGTTGGTGCCAATTGACGATCTGACGAGAAGGCATTCCCAAGATGGGATTCACAACCAGTTGCATTGTGCAAGTTTACTGGCATATTCCTTGGTGGTAAATGCTTCTCCATACTTCATGTGCTTGATGAACAAGTGTACGGGATACATCTGGGTAAGAACCTTTTTGTTTTGTTTCTGGTAGAGGGCCTAGTGAAGTTTTTTGGCAGGAGTACACATAACAAACTTAGGCAGATGAAGGCTTAAAAAGACCAGTGTTGGCAGACTGAATGTTCACTAGTCTGTCACTAACTAATAAACTTCAGTCCCTCCAAAAAAAAAAACTAATAAACTTCAGAATACTGCAATTACTTTCTTTCAAATGAATCCCTGTATAAGTGTTATTTTTATCGAAATACGTACTGCTGTTGTGTTCTCAAAGATTCACAATAAGCTCTCCACTTAACCATTTCATAACAT